ATTCCTAACTCTTCTCCCTGTACTAGAATATGTCATCTAGAGATGAACGAAGTATTCAAAAATTCGATTCGACTGATTCGGCGAATTCGTGGAAAAATTTTGATTCGAGTCGAATATATTCGCTGCGAATTTAACTTATAAAAGGGTGTTTCTAGGCTTCAGAGAGACTTTATATTAGTGCAGAACACTGTACCTTTAATTTAAATGCCCTTGGAGTCTGCTGGGGAAGAGAAATAATACTGACAGTCAGTATGACATGCAGATGAGTGCCGTCGATCTTAGAATCACCACACACTTCACTCATTTGGGCAGTCACGGGGCCAAAACCAGAGTGTGGAGCCACAGTGTGGCGGTGGAGGCAGCAGCAATGGGAGGCCATACAGCACCCTATGACAAAAATGGAAACCACCAGCAGTGTGAGGAGACCTGAAAGTGGCACATGGCAGAGTGTGGCGATGGAGACAGCAGCAATGGGAGGCCGTACAGGGACCCATGACACACTCTGGACCTGGCAGCAGCATGAGGAGGCGGTACAGGGGCCCATGACAGATTACGGCCTGGCAGCAGCATGAGGAGTTGGTACGGGGGCCCATGGCAGATTACGGGCCTGGGCAGCAGCAATGGGAGGCCGTACAGGGACCCATGACACACTCTGGACCTGGCAGCAGCATGAGGAGGCGGTACAGATTACGGGGGGCGCATGACAGATTACGAGCCTGGCAGCAGCAACTTGACAGACAGGACTTGGACAGGAGGACGTTCAGCTTCTGCACCGTCGGGTGCGTGCTCGCAAACTGTTGTCTCTTGGAAACGGATTCCAAGAAAGACTGCTGACGGAATCCGTGAAGAGGAGTAGCAGGAGAAGGAGCATCTGAACGAGCGGAATATGCCAACAAGCGACAACAGGGGCCCATGACAGATTACGGGCCTGGCAGCAGCATGAGGAGTCGGTACGGGGGCCCATGGCAGATTAGGGGCCTGGCAGCAGCTATGGGAGGCCCGTAATCTGCCAGCACCCTATGACAAAAAATGGAACCCACCAGCAGTGTGAGGAGACCTGAAAGTGGCACATGGCAGAGTGTGGCGATGGAGACAGCAGCAATGGGAGGCCGTACAGGGACCCATGAGAGACTCTGGACCTGGCAGCAGCATGAGGAGGCGGTATAGGGGCCCATGGCAGATTAGGGGCCTGGCAGCAGCTATGGGAGGCCCGTAATCTGCCAGCACCCTATGACAAAAAATGGAACCCACCAGCAGTGTGAGGAGACCTGAAAGTGGCACATGGCAGAGTGTGGCGATGGAGACAGCAGCAATGGGAGGCCGTACAGGGACCCATGAGAGACTCTGGACTTGGCAGCAGCATGAGGAGGCGGTATAGGGGCCCATGGCAGATTAGGGGCCTGGCAGCAGCTATGGGAGGCCCGTAATCTGCCAGCACCCTATGACAAAAAATGGAACACACCAGCAGTGTGAGGAGACCTGAAAGTGGCACATGTTTGGGGCATGATTCATGGCGGATTTAGTCAGTTGTGTCAGGAACTGGTGGTTTGAAATCCAGACTAATCCACGCCTGATTCATTTTAACGTGAGTCTCTCCACACTTTGGGTGGACAGTCGTGTCCTCCGCGGAGTTGCAATACCTCCTGCCGCACTAAACACGCGCTCCGATGCCACGCTACTGGCCGGGCATGACAGCCTTTCAAGGGCAAATTCAGCTAGTTGGGGCCAAAGGTCAAGTTTCGTTGCCCAGTAGTCAAGGGGATTGTCTACCTCGGTTGGCAGGGTGCTGTCCAAGTAGGCCTAAGCCTGTTGTTTGAGGTCCTGCTCCAGGTCCACCTGTGCTGCTGCTGCTGCTGCTGCTGCTGCGGCTGGTTAGTAGTTTCCTCACTGCGCTGGTGAAGAAAGCTACTCATCATCGACTGCAGACTGAGGCAGCTGCTGCTGGTGGAGCTGCCACTGCTCCTACCACCCCACCCCTCCCCTGCTGCCATGGCAGCGGAACGCGAGCGCACAGGGCCCACAGTGTCTGAGGATGGACGTTGGCGCAGACAGGCAGAGACCAGCTGACTACATAGGTGGTTTTTATAGTACGTTATTTTGGCCTCCCTCTCAGCAGGTGTGAAAAAGGCCACCATTTTTGAACGGTAGCGAGGGTCCAACAAGGTGGACAGCCAAAAGTCATCCCTCTGTCTGATGGTTATTATTCGGCTGTCGGTACGCAAGCAAGCGAGCATGCTATATGGGCCATTTGTGCCAAGGAATGCGAGGGGGACTCCCTGCCTCCATCTCCACAGCATACTGCCACGGTGCGTCTGGGTCCTCTGTCTCCTCTTCCTCCTCCTCTACCAGATGCTCCTGCTCCTCCACTCCTGTCCGCTGAGTGGAAAAACCACCCATTTCACTCAATAATTCCTGAGCACCAATGTCCTCCTCTACCTCCTCCCTCTTCTTCCTGTCCTGCCCCCACAGGGGTCATGTGGCGTTGAGATCTGTGCGCCACGTCTACCGCACCCTGACCAGCCATTGTTAACAGCATTTGTTCCAGGACGTGCAACAGAGGAATGACGTCGTTCATCCCATAGTCCTGCGACTCACGAATAGCGTGGCCTCCTCAAAGGGCCTGAGCAAGCGCAGGTGTCACGCATGAGCTGCCAATGGCTGACATCTAAGTTACACAGGGAGTACCTTTATCCGCTTTTAACATCAGGAAATCTGTGATGGCCTTTTGCTGTTCGTAAAGGCGGTCTAACATATGTAGGGTTGAATTCCACCTTGTTGCAACGTCACAGCATGAGGAGTCGGTACGGGGGGCCCATGGCAGATTACGGGCCTGGCAGCAGCAATGGGAGGCCCGTAATCTGCCAGCACCCTATGTCAAAAAATTCAACACACCAGCAGTGTGTGAGGAGACCTGAAAGTGGCACATGGCAGAGTGTGGCGATGGAGACAGCAGCAATGGGAGGCCGTACAGGGACCCATGAGAGACTCTGGACCTGGCAGCAGCATGAGGAGGCGGTATAGGGGCCCATGGCAGATTAGGGGCCTGGCAGCAGCTATGGGAGGCCCGTAATCTGCCAGCACCCTAGACAAAAAATTGAAACACACCAGCAGTGTGAGGAGACCTGAAAGTGGCACATGGCAGAGTGTGGCGATGGAGACAGCAGCAATGGGAGGCCGTACAGGGACCCATGAGAGACTCTGGACCTGGCAGCAGCATGAGGAGGCGGTATAGGGGCCCATGGCAGATTAGGGGCCTGGCAGCAGCTATGGGAGGCCCGTAATCTGCCAGCACCCTATGTCAAAAAATTGAACACACCAGCAGTGTGTGAGGAGACCTGAAAGTGGCACATGGCAGAGTGTGGCGATGGAGACAGCAGCAATGGGAGGCCGTACAGGGACCCATGAGAGACTCTGGACCTGGCAGCAGCATGCAGGAGGAGGAGGCGGTATAGGGGCCCATGGCAGATTATAGGGGCCCATGGCAGATTAGGGGCCTGGCAGCAGCTATATGGGAGGCCCGTAATCTGCCAGCACCCTATGTCAAAAAATTCAACACACCAGCAGTGTGAGGAGACCTGAAAGTGGCACATGGCAGAGTGTGACACTCTGGAGACAGCAGCAATGGGAGGCCGTACAGGGACCCATGCAGCACTCTGGACCTGGCAGCAGCATGAGGAGGCGGTACAGGGGCCCATGGCAGATTAGGGGCCTGGCAGCAGCTATGGGAGGCCCGTAATCTGCCAGCACCCTATGTCAAAAAATTGAAACACACCAGCAGTGTGTGAGGAGACCTGAAAGTGGCACATGGCAGATGGATGGACAGCAGCAATGGGAGGCCGTACAGGGACCCATGACAGACTCTGGACCTGGCAGCAGCATGAGGAGGCGGTAGGGGCCCATGGCAGATTAGGGGCCTGGCAGCAGCTATGGGAGGCCCGTAATCTGCCAGCACCCTATGTCAAAAAATTGAACACACCAGCAGTGTGAGGAGACCTGAAAGTGGCACATGGCAGAGTGTGGCGATGGAGACAGCAGCAATGGGAGGCCGTACAGGGACCCATGAGAGACTCTGGACCTGGGCAGCATGAGGAGGCGGTATAGGGGCCCATGGCAGATTAGGGGCCTGGCAGCAGCTATGGGAGGCCCGTAATCTGCCAGCACCCTATGTCAAAAAAATTGAACACACACCAGCAGTGTGTGAGGAGACCTGAAAGTGGCACATGGCAGAGTGTGGCGATGGAGACAGCAGCAATGGGAGGCCGTACAGGGACCCATGAGAGACTCTGGACTGGCAGCAGCATGAGGAGGCGGTATAGGGGCCCATGGCAGATTAGGGGCCTGGCAGCAGCTATGGGAGGCCCGTAATCTGCCAGCACCCTATGTCAAAAAATGAACACACCAGCAGTGTGTGAGGAGACCTGAAAGTGGCACATGGCAGAGTGTGGCGATGGAGACAGCAGCAATGGGAGGCCGTACAGGGACCCATGAGAGACTCTGGACCTGGCAGCAGCATGAGGAGGCGGTATATAGGGGCCCATGGCAGATTAGGGGCCTGGCAGCAGCTATGGGAGGCCCGTAATCTGCCAGCACCCTATGTCAAAAAATGGAACACACCAGCAGTGTGTGAGGAGACCAGTGGCATGGTGTGAGGAGACCTGAAAGTGGCACATGGCATGAGACACTGTGGACCTGGCAGCAGCATGAGGAGGCGGTACAGGGGCCCATGGCAGATTAGGGGCCTGGCAGCAGCTATGGGAGGCCCGTAATCTGCCAGCACCCTATGTCAAAAAATGGAACACACCAGCAGTGTGAGGAGACCTGAAAGTGGGCACATGGCAGAGTGTGGCGATGGCAGCAGCAGCAATGGGAGGCCGTACAGGGACCCATGGCAGACTCTAGGGACCTGGCAGCAGCATGAGGAGGCGGTATCTGGGGCCCATGGCAGATTAGGGGCCTGGCAGCAGCTATGAGGAGGCCCGTAATCTGCCAGCACCCTATGTCAAAAAATTGAACACACCAGCAGTGTGAGGAGACCTGAAAGTGGCACATGGGCAGAGTGTGGCGATGGAGACAGCAGCAATGGGAGGCCGTACAGGGACCCATGAGAGACTCTGGACCTGGCAGCAGCATGAGGAGGCGGTATAGGGGCCCATGGCAGATTAGGGGCCTGGCAGCAGCTATGGGAGGCCCGTAATCTGCCAGCACCCTATGTCAAAAAAATGAAACACACCAGCAGTGTGAGGAGGAGACCTGAAAGTGGCACATGGCAGAGTGTGGCGATGGAGACAGCAGCAATGGGAGGCCGTACAGGGACCCATGAGAGACTCTGGACCTGGCAGCAGCATGAGGAGGCGGTATAGGGGCCCATGGCAGATTAGGGGCCTGGCAGCAGCTATGGGAGGCCCGTAATCTGCCAGCACCCTATGTCAAAAAATTGAACACACCAGCAGTGTGAGGAGACCTGAAAGTGGCACATGGCAGAGTGTGGCGATGGAGACAGCAGCAATGGGAGGCCGTACAGGGACCCATGAGAGACTCTGGACCTGGCAGCAGCATGAGGAGGCGGTATAGGGGCCCATGGCAGATTAGGGGCCTGGCAGCAGCTATGGGAGGCCCGTAATCTGCCAGCACCCTATGTCAAAAAATTCAACACACCAGCAGTGTGTGAGGAGACCTGAAAAAGTGGCGATGGAGACAGCAGCAATGGGAGGACCCCTGTGGGATGAGAGACTCTGGACCTGGCAGCAGCATGAGGAGGCGGTACAGGGGCCCATGGCAGATTAGGGGCCTGGCAGCAGCTATGGGAGGCCCGTAATCTGCCAGCACCCTATGTCAAAAAATTGAACACACCAGCAGTGTGAGGAGACCTGAAAGTGGCACATGGCAGAGTGTGGCGATGGAGACAGCAGCAATGGGAGGCCGTACAGGGACCCATGAGAGACTCTGGACCTGGCAGCAGCATGAGGAGGCGGTATAGGGGCCCATGGCAGATTAGGGGCCTGGCAGCAGCTATGGGAGGCCCGTAATCTGCCAGCACCCTATGTCAAAAAATGGAACACACCAGTGTGTGTGAGGAGACCTGAAAGTGGCACATGGCAGAGTGTGGCGATGGAGACAGCAGCAATGGGAGGCCGTACAGGGACCCATGAGAGACTCTGGACCTGGCAGCAGCATGAGGAGGCGGTATAGGGGCCCATGGCAGATTAGGGGCCTGGCAGCAGCTATGGGAGGCCCGTAATCTGCCAGCACCCTATGTCAAAAAATTGAACACACCAGCAGTGTGTGTGAGGAGACCTGAAAGTGGCACATGGCAGAGTGTGGCGATGGAGACAGCAGCAATGGGAGGCCGTACAGGGACCCATGAGAGACTCTGACCTGGCAGCAGCATGAGGAGGCGGTATAGGGGCCCATGGCAGATTAGGGGCCTGGCAGCAGCTATGGGAGGCCCGTAATCTGCCAGCACCCTATGTCAAAAAATTGAACACACCAGCAGTGTGTGAGGAGACCTGAAAGTGGCACATGGCAGAGTGTGGCGATGGAGACAGCAGCAATGGGAGGCCGTACAGGGACCCATGAGAGACTCTGGACCTGGCAGCAGCATGAGGAGGGGGCGGTATAGGGGCCCATGGCAGATTAGGGGCCTGGCAGCAGCTATGGGAGGCCCGTAATCTGCCAGCACCCTATGTCAAAAAATTGAACACACACCAGCAGTGTGTGAGGAGACCTGAAGTGGCACATGGCAGAGTGTGGCGATGGAGACAGCAGCAATGGGAGGCCGTACAGGGACCCATGAGAGACTCTGGACCTGGCAGCAGCATGAGGAGGCGGTATAGGGGCCCATGGCAGATTAGGGGCCTGGCAGCAGCTATGGGAGGCCCGTAATCTGCCAGCACCCTATGTCAAAAAATTGAACACACCAGCAGTGTGTGAGGAGACCTGAAAGTGGCACATGGCAGAGTGTGGCGATGGAGACAGCAGCAATGGGAGGCCGTACAGGGACCCATGAGAGACTCTGGACCTGGCAGCAGCATGAGGAGGCGGTATAGGGGCCCATGGCAGATTTAGGGCCTGGCAGCAGCTATGGGAGGCCCGTAATCTGCCAGCACCCTATGTCAAAAAATTGAACACACCAGCAGTGTGTGAGGAGACCTGAAAGTGGCACATGGCAGAGTGTGGCGATGGAGACAGCAGCAATGGGAGGCCGTACAGGGACCCATGTGAGAGACTCTGGACCTGGCAGCAGCATGAGGAGGCGGTATAGGGGCCCATGGCAGATTAGGGGCCTGGCAGCAGCTATGGGAGGCCCGTAATCTGCCAGCACCCTATGTCAAAAAATTGGAAACACACCAGCAGTGTGTGAGGAGACCTGAAAGTGGCACATGGCAGAGTGTGGCGATGGAGACAGCAGCAATGGGAGGCCGTACAGGGACCCATGAGAGACTCTGGACCTGGCAGCAGCATGAGGAGGCGGTATAGGGGCCCATGGCAGATTAGGGGCCTGGCAGCAGCTATATGGGAGGCCCGTAATCTGCCAGCACCCTATGTCAAAAAATTGAACACACAGCAGCAGTGTGTGAGGGACCTGAAAGTGGCACATGGCAGAGTGTGGCGATGGAGACAGCAGCAATGGGAGGAGGCCGTACAGGGACCCATGAGAGACTCTGGACCTGGCAGCAGCATGAGGAGGCGGTATAGGGGCCCATGGCAGATTAGGGGCCTGGCAGCAGCTATGGGAGGCCCGTAATCTGCCAGCACCCTATGACAAAAAATGGAACACACCAGCAGTGTGTGAGGAGACCTGAAAGTGGCACATGGCAGAGTGTGGCGATGGAGACAGCAGCAATGGGAGGCCGTACAGGGACCCATGAGAGACTCTGGACCTGGCAGCAGCATGAGGAGGCGGTATAGGGGCCCATGGCAGATTAGGGGCCTGGCAGCAGCTATGGGAGGCCCGTAATCTGCCAGCACCCTATGACAAAAAATGGAACACACCAGCAGTGTGAGGAGACCTGAAAGTGGCACATGGCAGGGGCATGATTCATGGCGGATTTAGTCAGTTGTGTCAGGAACTGGTGGTTTGAAATCCAGACTAATCCACGCCTGATTCATTTTCACAAACGTGAGTCTCTCCACACTTTGGGTGGACAGTCGTGTCCTCCGCGGAGTTACAATACCTCCTGCCGCACTAAACACGCGCTCCGATGCCACGCTACTGGCCGGGCATGACAGCCTTTCAAGGGCAAATTCAGCTAGTTGGGGCCAAAGGTCAAGTTTCGTTGCCCAGTAGTCAAGGGGATTGTCTACCTCGGTTGGCAGGGTGCTGTCCAAGTAGGCCCAAGCCTGTTGTTTGAGGTCCTGCTCCAGGTCCACCTGATGCTGCTGCTGCTGCGGCTGGTTAGTAGTTTCCTCACTGCGCTGGTGAAGAAAGCTACTCATCATCGACTGCAGACTGAGGCAGCCGCTGCTGGTGGAGCTACCACTGCTCCTACCACCCCACCCCTCCCCTGCTGCCATGGCAGCGGAACGCGAGCGCACAGGGCCCACAGTGTCTGAGGATGGACGTTGGCGCACAAAGGCAGAGACCAACTGACTACATAGGTGGTTTTTATAGTACGTTATTTTGGCCTCCCTCTCAGCAGGTGTGAAAAAGGCCACCATTTTTGAACGGTAGCGAGGGTCCAACAAGGTGGACAGCCAAAAGTCATCCCTCTGTCTGATGGTTATTATTCGGCTGTCGCTACGCAAGCAACCGAGCATGCTATGGGCCATTTGTGCCAAGGAATGCGAGGGACTCCCTGCCTCCATCTCCACAGCATACTGCCACGGTGCGTCTGGGTCCTCTGTCTCCTCCTCCTCCTCCTCTACCAGATGCTCCTGCTCCTCCACTCCTGTCCGCTGAGTGGAAAAACCACCCATTTCACTCAATAATTCCTGAGCACAAATGTCCTCCTCTACCTCCTCCTCTTCTTCCTGTCCTGCCCCCACAGGGGTCATGTGGCGTTGAGATCTGTGCGCCACGTCTACCGCACCCTGACCAGCCATTGTTAACAGCATTTGTTCCAGGACGTGCAACAGAGGAATGACGTCGTTCATCCCATAGTCCTGCCGACTCACGAATAGCGTGGCCTCCTCAAAGGGCCTGAGCAAGCGGCAGGTGTCACGCATGAGCTGCCAATGGCTGACATCGAAGTTACACAGGGGAAGTACCTTTATCCGCTTGTAACATCAGGAAATCGGTGATGGCCTTTCGCTGTTCGTAAAGGCGGTCTAACATGTGTAGGGTTGAATTCCACCTTGTTGCAACGTCGCAGATCAGGCGATGCTGTGGAATTCCGTTCTGCCGCTGCAGCTCAAGGAGGGTGTGCTTTGCGGTGTAGGAATGGCTGAAATGCATGCAAAGTTTACGTGACATTTTAAGGATGTCTTGCAGTGGGATGGTGGATTTTAGGAACCGCTTGACAACCAGATTGAACACGTGAGCCATGCATGGCGCATGGCACAACCTTCCTTGACGCAGAGCAGACACCATGTTCTTTCCGTTGTCGGTCAACATGGTTCCGATTTTCAGTTTGCGCGGAGACAGCCATCTGTCGATTTCTCTGTTCATTACACTGAGAAGTTCCTCCCCTGTGTGACTACGTTCGCCAAGGCATACCAGGTGCAGCACAGCGTGACACCGTTGCGCCCTGCACATGTGATATGCCGGTCGGGTAATGGGACTTGGCACGGGGGGGGGTGGCGGCTGAGGACACGAAGGAAGAAGAGGTGGTAGAGGCGGACATCTTTTGTGGACCAAGGACGTGCAAACGTGGAGGCAAAAGCGGCGTGACCTGTCCAAGTTGCTGGTGCGGCTGTGACGGCACCACGTTCACCCAGTGGGCCGTAAATGACATGTACTGTCCCTGACCGTAGTTACAGCTCCACACGTCGGCGCTGCCGTGCACTTTGGCAGAGACCGACATGCTCAAAGACTGGCCCACCATCTCTTCTACATGTGAATGCAGGGCTGGCACTGCCTTTTTGGCGAAGAAATGACGGCTTGGCACTCTCCACCGCGGCGCGGCACAAGCCATCATTTCTCGGAAAGGTGCTGAGTCCACCACTTGGAAAGGGAGGGACTGCAGCACCAGCAACTTGGACAGGAGGACGTTCAGCTTTTGCACCGTCGGGTGCGTGCTCGCAAACTGTTGTCTCTTGGAAACGGATTCCAAGAAAGACTGCTGACGGAATCCGTGAAGAGGAGTAGCAGGAGAAGGAGCATCTGAACGAGCGGAAGATGCCAACGAGCGACAACTCCCCTCAGCAGAGGTGTTGGAGCCTTGACTGGCTGATAGAGGGCGATTGACGTCGGGTGACGGAGCAAGTAACGGAGCGGGTGATGGAGCGGGGGCTGGGGCGGGCAGAACCGCCGTATCTTTATCACGGTTTTCCCAGGCCACCAAATGGCGACGCTGCATATGCTGCCGCAACGCTGTAGTCCCAACATGGGCCCCCTGGCCACGCTTGACTTTCTGGCCACATAGTCGACATACGGCTACGTTTACTTCCTCGGGCGGCTTGACAAAAAATTGCCACACCGCCGAGTAGGAAACTTTGCCCCCGATACTCCTCACTGGCTGACTGCTGCTTCCTCCGGCCTCCACTGACACTGCTGCGACCCTGCTGCCTCCT